AAGTGAGACTACAGTGTTAATGTGTAATAATTTTTTGGGGATTTGAAGTATAGAAAGTGTACATTTGTTGAGTTTCAACAATAATATGTGACTGTACAAAAAGTTGGTTGTATCACAATTAGTGAATAATGTATTATTTATCTTTATTATTTCTCCGCAATACGGTCTTTTAATAATTATTGTTATAGCCGGGGCAACATGTGAAGACGTTAAAAATATAAGAAGAGCATATGTTGTTTGGTCTTTAAGAAGTGCAATCACACGTCGTATATTAGGTAAATATTATTATGGAGTTGTATGGTTTTTAAACGCTATTAATATATTTATATATATATTTTTTAAGTTTTTTAATAGGAACAAGGATACAATTTATTTTACATTTTAACAATTAACTAAATAAATTATAACTACTTACATGTACATTCATGTAATACAAATAGCATGGCTGTTTAATACAACACCATGCTTATTGTATTATTTTTTATGACTTCGTATTAACAAATAAAATAGTTGTGTTCTGCACAATAAAGAAAAGTAGTAACTAGTAAGCTAAAATGAGCATACTAAAAAAAAATGTTTTCAATTTTTTTAGGTGCACCTGATGAAGCCCCTATATTACCTAAGTGTCGTTTGCTAGCATTGTACTTGAGTACACAATCTCCATTAGCGTACATAGAAGAAGTTAACATTGACCCAACTGGCCATACATGTATCTTCAAGGATAGACGTCATTTCGAAAAGAGATACAGTAAAATCGGTGGCTCGTGGTCAGAAGTAGACGGAAATGGCCAATTCGAGAAAAAAAACACTCGAGACACAATTACAACGTATACAACCACAAGTTCCACCCACATCCTAACCTAATGTCAAAAAAACAGTAGCCTCCGTATTCTGTTCTTTACATAATATATTATAGTTTATCTTATTATTATCACTATATACACTATAAAATCAGAATTTTTAAAATATTATACATATATTTAAGCTGACGGAAAAACAACAGTCTTTGGATTTTTTCAATAATATATTTCATATAATACATTTTTTTGTACAGTAAGTACGTAACTTTATATGTCTATTTATGTGTCATATCATGTCTACCAATAAAATTAATGATTACCGAATAAGTAAAGTTGTATTTTTTCATCTAATCTATTCCAACTATTTATTACTGCTTTTAAATCCTTACACCTTATATTTCTACTTTTATTAAATTACTGTGCGAATTTGGGTGACAGGTTCATCGTTCATATTTCTAATAGATAATTCATCTTAATGGTTATTAATTATTATATAGAGATTTGGTGTTAGAGGTAACATAACCTAAACGGAGTTCTAATGATGAGTGACTAAATAAAACAGTCTAGTATATATTTTACATAAAAAGCCAGTTATGGAAATCCTGGCTGGTCAACCACAATGGTATTAGATTAACTTAAAATATATCATTGAAATAAGAACAATGCAGAGTACGATAACTAATCCTACATAATATTTTAAATCAAAAAGAATTAAAATTGTTTTTTGTGGGCTACTACTCATGTTGTATACTTTACGTGTACATGTGTACTACTTTGATATTTACATCGCTACGAAGCTAAAAAAATAAGACACTAAAAACAATGAAAACTGACTGTGGTTTTGCACACAAATTTAAGGTATTTTATGTCTAACGCATTGAATAATACACAAAATCTGGGAATTAAAGGTAAATAATGTACTAGCGCATTTCATACAACAAAATTTCAAAGTACAAAATAAAATCTTACACATTATCTAGTGGAAGTCCGAATTTGGACCTCTGGTTAAAGAATTCTGAACACATTGAAAAAAAAAATATCGTTCTACTCGTTAAAATTGTTCTAGATAAAAAAAATATATGTGTATATATATTTATATATACAGGGTGATCCAACTAACGTAAGACACTCATTTTCAAGGAAAATATGAATATTTTGAAAAAAAAATTTCCTATTATTTTAGATATAAGTTTTACTACATTTTTCAATGCTTTGAAAACTTTTATTTTCATCCCTTATACGATAAAAAGCGTCTAAGTTCACGTTTTCAAATGGCAACATATGTTTTTATTTCCATAAATTTGTAGGCAAACAATTTTAAAATATGTTATCGTTTGAATTATTGATTTTTATCCATCTAGTCGTTAGCTATGACTTTGTAAAGATATTACATTTTCTCTTAACAATTGTTATATTTCTATGGTTTTCCAAAGACCGGGAGCCAATAAAATACTTATTTATGATCGCATTGTCCGATAGATGAGTACACAGATAATCAAACACAATAAAATGTTTTGTGATATTTTGGTTGACCAGCGATTCATATTTATAGATAACCGACTTTTCTAACACACCGTCATGACAGGTAGGTTGACAGACCTATATTGAAAGCGGTTAACGAATGGCTATTTAACCACAACAATCAAAAACTGTGGTACAAGTAGGTTGAGAACTGCTGCTATGATGATAATACAGAATATTATTATCATTAATCTAGTTATCATAGTTTTCTACTATCTATGTTCTACATTCAACAAGTAACAGCACAGGACAACAGATTATTATCATGCTATTATGAAAATTATAATTTGTATAGTTTTTATAGGTAGTAAACAATAGCTTTAAAATTTGGCTTACAATCTCATAAGTGCATACATTGAATGGACAAGCGTCGCGAAGCGTTACTATTATTTGTTTAATTATGTTCAATTTATTCAGAAGATGTTTTGTGCTCAAATAATTGTTTTAAACAATTTACACTAAATAAGGAATTTTGGATTTAATTTGCTTACTATTTTAATTCTACAGTAAATATTTAAAATGTTGCCTATTTTACATTTATAAATAACTTTTTTTTTTTATATAATCAACTTTATTAATAAAAAATAATGCAATAAAGTGGACTGTGTTTAAATGATTAAGTTGTCTAAAGACTAGATATTTGTAAACAGTGTTTGAAAAAACCTACAACAAAATCACAGTTAAGTTTGAAATTGTATTAATTATCGACTTAATTTAAGTCAGTAGTTCCAAACTGTGATTCAAAGTACTTTTACTTTTTTTTCTGTTTTCCCCATCCTGTTAGCAAAAAGATTTGATTTTTCTGTAACGGTAAATTTTTCAACATCATTGATATTTCATTTTTTTTTAAGTCAAGTTATTTCTTATCAAGATCCCATTAATTAAAATATGGATCAATAGTTTGTGACTCAATTACACAAAATCACACAGTGATACTCAAACTTCAGAAATAAAGTTAGGCTTTGTGTCACGCAAACATTAAATTATCAGAACTTGTCTTTTTTATTTTATTAATAACTATTAAATTAAATAGTTTATATGTTTCTAATCTTTTTATTAGTACTTACTAATTATTATTATAACTTATAAGGTGTATAATGTTATAATAATAGTGATTCTAAAGCCTTTATAATAAAATATGTCTGTTTCAAAAATTTCAAATTGAAAAGTTAATTCTTTTACAGTTGAATCTGCTTATTTTGATTTTATGTATAATCAGTATTTTCTTATTTTTATTATTTTCTTCACTATTTAATATCTAGAAAATTAAAAGCTTAATAGATTTTAGTTGTTTAAAAAGAAAACCATTATTTGATATTTCCTTGTTTACTATACAAATTAAAGTATTGACATTATTAAACTATTATTTCGGGTACGTTTTACTAAGATCAAGTAAAAGTGGCAATATTAAATCAAAAATAGTCTTAGCTAAATTGTAGTATCTAAATTTAACAATTATTCTGTAATAAAACACATTTTTAAGGATTTAAATTTTATGGAATTTGTACGCGACAAGTTTGTCTGATTTTATACACATAACTACATGTATACTATATTTATGTATAAATACAAATAATTATAAAATCAATTATACTAACTTATAATGCATAGTTGTTAAAAATAAAATTTGTTTACCTTTAATGATGCAAATAATGGTTAAAAGAATATTTGCTGTAATGCGTATGCGACAATTTTCCTACTTTAAAGAGTTAAAAAACAATTTTTATTAATTTTTACTGTGTACTTTACAACATTTGAACATTGATAACACATAGTAAAACAATTGTATTGATAAATTTCAACGACAAATATATAGTATAGTATAACATTTAAAGAACAATAATAATCTTTTGTCTGATATTATAAGTATTTAACTAATAAAATGTTCATAAACTAATAATTAATACAACAATAAATTCAAAAATTACAAATGTTACTATTTTGAAAATAGTCAATCAAAAATATTAAACAAAAACCATATCTATACATTTGAAATTTTTCAACTTCTATGATACTGATTTAAATTTTTTTCTTTTAACAATCGTTGGTAATTAAACAAATTTAACAAAATCAAAATTCAATAAATAAAATTAACTATAAGAATTATCTTAGGCAAGTTCAAAAAAATAATTTACTTGATTTACTGAATTCATTAAATACAAATTAATAGAATTACTACTTTTTTAAATAGAGAATTATTGTATATTAATAAATTTGATATAAAATTTAACTTTGATAGCCAAATACCTGTGTCAGTTATAGCTAAAACTTTATGATAAAATATCCGTAATGTATGTCAGACACACTATATATGGGTACTATATCATTGTAGCTAAACTAAAAGCAGACATTTGAACTACCTTAGATAAGTTTAATCAAATAAAAATAATATACTTACATATTATTATATCATTTTATTATAAATATTGGTATAATCAAGAAGTGATTCCTTGTATGTAGTAATATGAAATTCATACATTAATTACTGATATTTTTAAAAATAAATGAAAGGGGTATATGAGTATTATCAACCCACATACACAAATACATGCATTAATAATTATTTTAAGTTAACACAACACACTTTTCATTCAAATTGCTTAGTGTTGATATTATACATTCACATGAAAAAATGTCACATTAGAAATAAATATTTTATACTTATAATTTACACCTTGATATATAATTGTAAGGTCTTGGGTCCGATTGGAAAGACATTTCCATAGCAATTGATATGTCATACTCAAAACCAATTTTACATGATAACATTGGTTTTTAAAAGATGAAATATTTTCAGTAAAAAAGCATTCAACCTAAATTTAAAAAGCTAATTGAAATCGTATTGTATTAAATTACCCATTAAACTCTAATAAACTTACCTATTAAATTAATGCTTTATATTTATAATTTACACCTTGATATAAAATTGTAAGGTCTTTAGTCTTGGGTCCAATTGAAAAGACATTTCCATAGTAATTGGTATAGCCTATTCTCAACGCCATAGATATTTCTGACATGATAACATTGATTTTTAAATGATAAAAGATTTTCGGAAAAAAGCATTCAACCTAAAATAAAAAAGCTAATTGAATTCGTATTGTATATTATATTATCTATTAAACTTTAATACACTTACCTATTAAATTAATGGTGTGTCCAAGAATGTAACGTCAAAATAAAGTCGAGAGCCAATATTATCAATTGATATATTTAAAAAATTATAAAATAACGAGTTATGACATAACTACAATAAGCATGCTATCATATTTACTATAAAGTAAAATGTAAATTTACTAACATTTTTTAATTAAGTTTGTAATTTCTTATTTCACTAATGGAAAACGTGTGAACTTCGAAGTCGAAATTTGTTAGCGATGAGGTTATGTACAAATAATAAATATAATGCGATTTTGTACAAATAATAAAATATATTATGGGTACTGGTCACTCGATTATTCCGTGGTAACTGATGCGTAGTTTAGATACTAGATTGTTATCCGAGATAACCAGCTAATGACTAGCTCCAGCTAGATTAGGTTAAAGTGTAAAGTCCATTATCCGTAACAGTCTACCTTTCCTCTAATAATGTATGGTTATTTATTATATCTGATTATGATACGGAATGCGTTAACATCAAATTATTATTATATTTGATGTGTTGACCGTCGTAATAAAACTACTTGTCTTTGTTGAATCGAATGAAATGATTAAGAAATATAGACAAAAATTCAAATCTTTACAAAGTCATAAACAGCGAACAAATGGATGAAAATTAAAAATTCAAACGCTAACATTTTTTTAGATTTTTTGTCTTTATATTTATGGAATTTAAAACATATGTTCCCATTTGAAAAAACGAGGTTCGTACTTATTTAACGTATAAGGGTTGAAGATAAAATTTTTCTAAATATTGAAAAATGTAGCTAAATATGTACCTAAAATTTTAGGGAAAAAAAAATTCGCAAAATATTCATACTTTCAGAGAAAATGAGTGTCTTACGTTAGTTGGATCACCCTGTATATAAAATCTATTCTACGCTGTTTTATTTGGTCACCAACATTAGAACTCCATTTATGTTATGTTACACCCAATATCAAATCTCTATATATATCTCTCTAACCAATAAGATCAATTATCTATTAGAAATATAAACAATGACCCTGTCACCCAATTAGCACAGTCATTTAATAAAGGTATTTTAGATAACACAAAAATATAACTTTCCTTATTCGGTAATTATTTATTTTATTGGTAGATATGACGTAAAACAGAAATATTCATACAATATTATGTACTTAAAAATGTATAATATGGAATATGTTATTCAAAAAGTCCACCGACGGTTCTTTTTCCGTCAGCTTAAGTATATGTATAATATTTTACAATTTAAGCTATTATAATGAATATAGTGATAATGATAAGTTAAATTATAATATATTATGGAATGTACAGAATATAAATGCCAGTTTTTTCCTAACATTAATTTAGGATCTGGGTGGATCTTGTGGAATTCCAAGTCGTAACTGTTCCTCAAGTGATTTTAGGGATTGGTTATGGTTATCTGGGATTATTTCGGACCATGCGTTAGCAATTTTTCTGTATCTTCTTTGGGCGTTATGTTTATCGGTTAAGATACATAAGATCGTAAAATCAATTGAGTAAATTTTAACTTCAATTATGTATGATTTCGGAGATTGTACACTTAAGTATAATCCTATAAAATGACATTTAAGTAATACCTCGGCTTCATCATCTACATGCTGCACAGGTGCATCTAAAAAATTTGAAAACGTTTTTTTTTAATTTGCTCATATTAGCTTGCTAGTTACAACTTTTCTTTTTGGTGCAGGACACAACGTTTTTAACTGATAATACAAAGTCATAAAAAAATAATACAATAAGCACGGTGTCCGTATTGTACAGCCATGATATTTGTATTGCATGAAAGTACGTGTTAGTAGTTATAATTTATTCAGTTGTATCCTTGTTCCAATCAAATAACTTAAATAAATAATATATTTGATAGCGTTCAAAAACCATACAACTCTATAATATTATTTACCTAATAATCGACGTCTGATTACATTTTTTAAAGCTATAACAAGATGATCTCTTCTGTCGGCTGCAGCGTCATTCAATGTTTGCATATCTATGGAATTAATGGTTAAATGACGATGTTGCGAAGAAATAATAAAACTAAAAAATATTTTAGTAGCTCGTGATACATAATTATTTTTGCATAACATTTTAAATAATTGCGATACGACTTATTTTTTGTACAACCAATCATTAGTGATGAAATTCAACGATTGTATTCTTTCTATACTTGAAATCCCAAAGAGTTTATTATACATCAACATTAGGCCAACTTCTTTTTGATAAGGTGAAAAATATTCGTTTTTTTATTTAATTTACAGTCATAACGTACAAAATATCACCGTAATTTGTTACTAAGTCTCACTCTCTCTCTTTCACCCTTCGATTAAAAGTTGAATATATTAACATTTGTTACCTGACATAAAAAATGAAATGTATATAATGAAGCAAATATCTACTCCAGAATACATTTTTAAGATCAATTACGACTAAAAAAAAAAAAATAGTTATTACCCATATCAAAATCATTTATACTTTGTCCTGTAACAAATACATCACACATTAATTCATTATGCAGTTAATAAATCCAGGTAAATATATTTATACATACATAATTACATTTTAAATAATTATTAAATACATTTTATATACATAAAATTTACTTTATAATTGAGGTCAACTAGAGCAATATTAGTTATTACAAAACATTATTTCATGAAAAATTTTAATTTATATTTTATAGTGATGTTTAAATAGTCGGTTAAAATTGTATTTCGAATGATCCTTAAAAGCTTAAACATAAAACATAAATAGCTGTATGACTTTAAGTTTTAAATCGAGTGTTCTTTAAAACTACCAAAAATATGTCACTATTTATATTTTAATTTTATATTTACCCATTATTTTTTCTAATTCTTGTAGCATTAGTTGAAGGGAATAAATGGCTGCTAAAATTTAAAACAAAATCATTTTTAATGTATCTACAAATTTGTATATTGCTATTTGTCAATAGGTACATAAAATAATTATTGTCAAAGTATTTTTAAATAAAAATTATAAATATACATTAAGTATAAAAAATATAAAATTTAAAAAGGCGTTTTTACTTTCCATTGGGTTCATATCTGGAAGTGCTGAAATTAAAACAAAAATCTTGGGTGCACAAAGAATAACAAATAACTGCGAGGAAATACTTCCATAAAGTGCAATGAAAATAATTACCCTGTATTCTGGGAATAATATCCATTTGGTCTGAAACAAACAACACATAAATTAACGATATTACATTTATTTTCTATTCTATTATAAACGGAAAGACGAATTTATAGGTAGAAATAACATGTGGATTAGTAACTCTGATGAAACATGCTCCACTGTATATAAAATACGAAGAGACTTACTTTAGAAATTTCAATAGGAGTAAAATATTAGAAAAATTTTCATAAATTTCAACAAAAACTATTACCCGGTACAGCGATCACACAATTAATTTTGCCTGAAATTGACATTACAAAAATTAGTGATATTGAAATTTGCTATTATAAACCGTAACGTTATATAGTTATAAATTAGAAGACGAAGGTCAAAGTAGAAAAAAAACTATATTATGTAGACTATATTCTATTCAGAGCGGTCCGGGAGAATAAAACATATTGATTAGACGACGTTGATAGAGCTAACTGTTGGAATAATAATTAATATTCTATATATCAAGAAGTATTTCACAATATATAAATATGTTGTTTATCTGTATAATAAAAATACGTAGTTGTTAACCAGGAAATGTTATAGAAAAACAAAGTTGTTTTTGTAAGCACACCTGTATGTGTAGACGAGTGCAACCTTGTGGGTTAATACTTGATTATCATCACTACTGGCACTCTGATACTATATTTATGTATAGTATTACAACAGGTTATGCGCCCAGACACTCAGACATACAGTCAAAGGCACACCGGACATCGAGAGTCAAGTATTTGAAGACACAATTTTTTTTGAAAATCACAATTTTTTTTGAAGATCACCAAGTAAGTTAATTATAGTAATTAAGCAGCACCTGACGAAGTGTATATTGGATATACATTTATCAAAGTCGTTCAAGGGTATTATACAAGTACGTAATCTATTGATATGGAAGAATCAATAAAGATTGCCAAGCTATGCAATATTGAAGGTTGGACACCTTCGAAATTTCAGATGAAGGTAATACTAACTTCATATGAGTTGGGTAGTTTAATTACAGGAGAGTATACAAAGCCAGTGCTAACAAGCAAAGAAGCTGACGCCCAGAAAAGATATAAAGAGGATCTATTATATTGGCAACGTGCTGACTCCAAATGCCAAAAACTGATAGTAACATCGGTTGACAACGGTCCAATGCAATACCTGATTAACTGTAAAACATCGTATGAAATGTGGACAAAATTACTCGCTGTCTATGAGCAGAAAAACGAGGCGAGTATACATTTAATACAACATACATTTTTCAGTTACGTAAAGGACTCGGCTGACGATATGTCGACGCATATTACCAAATTGCAAAACCTACAGAATCAACTTAGTTTGATGGGACAACCAGTCACAGAATCTATGCTTATGACGAAAATTCTAATGACCTTGCCATCGGAGTATAAACATTTTTACAGTGCATAGGACTCAATGCAGCTAGAAAGTAAGAATTTAAATGAACTAACATCTCGGTTACTTATTGAGGAGTCGAGAATGAATCAAGGTAGTTCGGTAGTTGAATCTGTAGAAGAAAATAATGCTTTAACTGTTAGAAAGTTCCAGGAGAAATTTTCTAAAAAGACAGGCGGTGAAAATTTTGGTGAACGGAAAGTTGGGAATCCAAATGTGGGTACTAAAAAGATAGGACCCAGTTTTTATTGCAAAAAGGGCGGTCATTTCAAAAAGGACTGCAGGAAGTATAAAAAGGACCAAGACGATGCCAAGGGAAATTCGTCACAATCAAGTGAAATAGGACAAGCTTTTTACAGTGAACTGTTATTCACAGAACAGGAATCGGATAACTGGTATCTAGACTCTGGTGCTACTAATCATTTGACGGGACATAAAAATTGGTATGTTCATTATAATCAATTTAAATCGCCAATTAAAGTGAAAATAGGCGATGGCACTATTTTATATGCGCAAGGTTCTGGTCAAATCAATATTATATGTTATGTTAGAAATAATCAGTATAATAATTTTATGACTAATGTTTATTATGTACCTGAACTAAAATATAATTTATTCAGTGTTGGTTCTACGTTGGACAAGGGCATGAAAATGATGTCAGATAATAAAAAATGTATATTCTTACTAAACAACAAGATCATTTGTGAAGCGGTACGCAAAATTGTCTTGTATAATGTTAATATTAGAATACAGAACCAGCCAATTAACAAAACGGGTTTCGTCAACGATATGCAGCCAGAAGCAACGGCCGTAGTAGCGGGTTCATTAACATTGTGGCACGAACGTATGGCACATCAAAACATTGGTTACGTAAGAAGTTGTTTACTTGAACATAATATTAAGGTGGAGAGTGACAATAACTTCACATGCGAGGCATGTATTATGGGTAAACATAGTAGAAAATCATTTCAAAGTCGTACGGACAAATCACAAAAAGTGGGAGGATTAATATTTACTGATCTTTGTGGACCTTTCCAGACAGATTCTCTAGGCGGGTCAAAATATTATCTTGTTTTTAAAGATGATTTTTCACACTTTAGAACTGTATATTTCTTAAAACATAAAAATGAAGTTAAAGACAAACTTGAATTGTTTATTAAATGTTTTAAAAATGAGACAGGTAATAAAATAATAGCAATACGTTCGGACAACGGCGGAAAGTTTGTTAATAAACAGGTTTTAGGAATATTAAACAAGTATGGAATCCGTCATCAGAAAACAATAGCCTACACACCACAACAGAATTCTTCAGAACGCGAAAATCGTACGTTGGTGGAGGCTGGTCGATCAATTTTATATTCCAGAAATATGGATTTATCATTATGGGCAGAAAGTATATCATACGCTAATTATACTTTGAATCTCACAGGTAAAAGCTCAATTAATAATAAAAATCCATATGAGTTGTATTATAATAAATTGCCTGACATAAATCATTTAAGAGTTTTTGTAACTAAAGTGTATGTACATGTACCCAAGGAAAAACGTCAAAAGTTAGATGCCAAGTCTAGAAGCGGTATTTTCGTTGGATATTCTACTGACAAGCGCGGGTACAGGGTTTATTTTAATGATACGAAAACGGTAAATGATTGCCGGGACGTTATATTCACTAAGGAAATAATAAATACAAATGAAGTTAGCATAAGCGAAAGTGTTACACAGGTTGACGACGAGAAGGAACAAGTCGTGAATGAAAAACCAGTTCAAAACGAGGAAACGGTAACCATACCTATAGTCACGGACACTCATGGGTACAGTTTACGAGACCGCAGCCAATTACAAAAACCGGTAAGGTATCGGTGCATGCTAAGTATATCAGAACCAGTTAACTATTATGAAGCGATAAACAGTGAGTATGCAAATAAGTGGGAAGAAGCAATGAATGACGAGCTTAAGTCATTAATTGAAAATAAAACGAGGGAACTTGTCGACAGACCGATAAATAAAAGTGTTTTAAACAATATGTGGGTATTTAAAATTAAGTACAATGTAATTGGTCAAGTCGAGAGATTTAAGGCGCGTTTGGTGGTTAATGGGTCAAGACAAAAACCAGGCGTGGATTTTGGAGAAGTTTTTAGTCCAGTATGCCGATATGAAAGCATACGTACAATATTAGCAGTTTCTGCGGCTAAGAAACTTGAACTCAAACAATTCGACGTGAAAACGGCATTTCGTCATGGAGAATTAGATGAAGAAATTTACATGGATCAACCATTGGGTTTTAATGACAACTCGGGTAGAGTATGTAGATTACGTAAGTCTTTGTACGGATTAAAACAATCACCAAGAAATTGGAATTTTAGATTTAGACATTTTCTAGAAAAATATAATCTTAATCCAACTGATTCAGATCCATGTGTGTATATAAATCATGATAATAATGAAATAGTTATTTTAGCTATATTCGTCGATGATGGTTTAATTGCTTCAAACAGTATTGCAAAATCACAAGAACTCATTTCAAGTTTACAACAAGAGTTTCAAATCACACAAGGAGATTTAGATAATTTACTAGGTATGTCAATAGAGAAACAAAATGATGGTTCATTATTCATTCATCAGGCCAAGTATGCAAATAATATTATTGAAAGATTTAATATGAATAATGCTAAAGAAGTTTTTGTCCCCATATCTCGAACAGACACGTCATTCGATAACACAGATACGCAGGTATTACAGCCAGGTAATAACTTTTATAGACAAGCAGTAGGGTCACTGTTATTTCTGTCACAAGTAACAAGACCGGATTTAGCGTTTGCAGTTAATTATGCAAGTCGTTTTCTTGCAAAACCTACAAATGCACACTGGCAAATGGTCAAGCGTGTAATGCGTTATGTTAAACATACTTTAGATTATGGTTTGTGTTATAAATCAGATGATAATTTATTTTTGAGTGTCTACAGCGATTCGGATTATGCCGGCGACATTCAAACACGAAGATCTATTTCGGGACATTTATTTGTTGCGGGACCTTATACAATAGGGTGGAATTCACAACGTCAAGCATCAGTTACTCTGAGTTCAACTGAATCTGAGTTCGTCGCTAGTTGCGAATCGATAAGAAGTTTAATATGGTTTAAAAGATTGTTAACTGAATTAACTAATGAAAAGGGATTGTATAAACCTATTTTGTATATAGATAATCAAAGTACTATTCGTTTGATTAGGAATGCAGTTTTTCACAAGAGGTCAAAACATATTGATGTTCGTTATCATTTCATTCGGGAGAAGTTTGAAGAAGGTGTATTTGAGCTGCAGTACAAAGAAACAGAAAACCAACTAGCTGACATCTTCACGAAGCCATTAGCCAAGGACAGACTTGAAAAGTTACGGTCAATCATAGGCGGTGAAGAGGATCACAGAAGATTAATATAGTGTTAAGAAAATATTAATTAAGGGGGTGTGTTGGAATAATAATTAATATTCTATATATCAAGAAGTATTTCACAATATATAAATATGTTGTTTATCTGTATAATAAAAATACGTAGTTGTTAACCAGGAAATGTTATAGAAAAACAAAGTTGTTTTTGTAAGCACACGTGTATG